CCACCAGACGAAACATGCTAACTACAACAAGCTAACTGGGAACGAACGCAGCGAAAAATCGAAGGAACTGGAAACTGCTTTAATGGCATAGCAGTGCTTTTTCACAAGAGCCCGTGAGTCAAATGAAAATGCCACAAAGGCGAGCTACGAGGTGGCAACACTGATTGCCAAGCACTGCAAACCTTTTACTGTGGGTGAATTTATTAAAGACTGCGTGATGAAAATGGTGGAGAAAATGTGTCCTGAGAAGAAGCAAGAGTTTGCCAATGTTTGCCTGGCTCGTAATACTGTGGTACGGAGAATAGAAGATGTTTCATCTGATATTAAGAGACAGAGGCAAAAGGAGTGGAGTTTGACTTTTTTTCGTTAGGCTGTGACGAAAGCACGGATGCATCTGACACCACTCAGTTATTGATTTTTTTGAGAGGAGTGGACAATGACATGAACGTGAGTGAAGAGCTACTTGACCTCCAGAGCCTTAAGGACCAAACAAGAGGAACAGGTTTATTTGTTTCTGTTTGTTCCGCCGGAGATGACATGAAACTACCGTGGAATAACGTCACTGGGATTATTACGGATGGCGCACCTGCCATGGCTGGCGAGCAAAGTGGATTATCAACCCTAGTCTGTAACAAAGGAGGCAGGAGAAGAAGGAGGCAAAGCTATAAAACTCCACTGTATTACTCACCAACAAGTTCTCTGTGCCAAATATCTGAAACATCTGAAATATGATCATGTTATGAAACCGGTGATAAAGGCTATTAATTATATTCGCTCCAAAGCCCTGTGTCCAGTTTCAACAGTTTCTACTCGACATCCAGGCTGAATACGGAGATATTGTGTATCACAACGAGGTAAGATGGCTCAGTTGGGGGTCAGCACTGCAGCGCTTCTACTCTCTTAGTGAGGAAATTGGACAACTCTTGGCAAAAAAGGGACAACCGATGCCAGAGCTATCTGATCCTGTTTGGCTGGCTGATTTTGGATTTTTAGTTGACATGACACGACATCTGAACGTGCTGAACACGTTCAGCCTTCAGGGGCAA